TTGGATGTTCGCGTTGTCTTGGATCATTTGAAGACCTTTGGTGCTTCAAGTGCTTTACCGCTTAATGAACTCACGCTCAAGTTAACCATGTCGCTGTGTCTTACCACTGGCCAGCGTGGACAAACCATTCATAAGTTTGACATTAACTACATACAGGACTTGGATGATCGGTTTAGAATTTCTCTCCATGAGAAGCTAAAGCAGACTAAACCAGGCAGACATTTAGAGCCTACAGAACTATTGTCTTTTCCAGAGGACAAGGAACTTTGTGTTGTGCAACATTTGAGGGAATGTAAAGATCATTCTCAGTTATTATTAAGCTATGTCAAACCCTTTAAGCAAGTAGCTAGGGACACTGTTCCCAAATGGGTTAAGCAAGTTTTGCAATCTGCAGGGATTGACATAACTAAGTACTCTGCTCATAGCTGCAGGGCTGCTTCTACTTCTAATGTTAAGGTTAAGGGTTTGAACATTGCTGAAATTATGAAGAGCGCAGGCTGGTCAACTGCGAGTATCTTTGCGAAGTTCTATGATAAGCCAGTGTCCAATACTTCAGCTAACTTTGGCTCGGTACTGTTGAATCTAAGTGCCAAGTGATGTGCTACTTTGTATCTTGTATTCTTGTTTTGTTTTCGTTTGGGATTTTATTTTCCTTAATAAAATTTTGTTTTACTTGTATTACTTGTTCGTGTTACAGGACTTTGAAATCTCATGTGACTTCGTAGTGACGTAGACTGAACGAAGGAGTCACATGCCCTTATTCCCTCCCTCCCTTCCTCCTTCGTTCCTTTTTTCCTGTACCACTCACTTTAAAGACTGACTAGTAATGCGCATGCACATCTCATGTGACTCCTTCGTTCCGGACTGATCACAAGATAGAATCTCGATCAAACTTCCACTTACAGGTAAGTCTCGTTTAATCATGTAAGTTTGGTCTAAAGACTTAAAGACGGGTGTTGCTTTTCGTTGTGAAGAAAGGAATGATTCTCAAGTTTGTGAGAATAGTCGAATAGAGGTGGAGAGAAAATGAAAACAGTCGACGTTGATGTATGTAAGTAATTAACGGTCTTTCGGGATGATGGCATGATGATGCATCGGGAAATGAAACATAAGCCGGGATCCCCCGACCGAGAATATGTGAGAACGCTAAAGGAAGTTGAATGGAGTAAATACAGTGTTAAGTAGTAAACACCTGGGCAGTGTTAGTAATAAGGTATTGAGCAGGACTTGTAAACTGGAATAAGATCAGACAGAATGCAAACGTGAGATCTAAACAGAAGGAAGCTGGTAACGATGGAAGGAATGAATTGAAATCGATGAAAATAATTATATTTTAAATTGCGGACAAAGATATGAAAGTGACCTTGATTTTTGCAGAAGAATGAACAACTAAAGCACTTGAAAAAGACCCTGAAAATATAGGATTGACCGGGAATCGAACCCTAACTAAGTGATACTTTATGGAATCCTATTTAATAAACTCTATTACCTACAACAAAGATGAGGAGAGATATAAGCGGGAAAATGAAAACATCGAATAGACAGCAAACGGAAAGGAAAAACCACCATCGTCTTGGTAATTCGTATTGATAGCAACCACCATACCAACTATCCTTCAGAAAGTCTATGATGACAGGGTGATCGAAGAACTGCAAAGCAAAATACACATCCTTAATATTATATGCAAAGTCTGTTCCCGCCCTACGATTGGTAAGTTTGTAGCCCATATTAACGTACTTTACGAACCTGAAAACTCTGAAACTAAATGGTTATTTTGAAGCTCTAAATCTTTTTATCTGGAAAAAAAAATCATGCGCAAAGAAAGTTGAGATATATCTGTAAATCCTGAGTACTGGGATGTTGACTTCGTCCTTCCAAATTTTAATCTAAACGCATTACAAAGATTCTAGTCAGTGTTTGAAATCTTTAACACAGATCACAATAAAAAGACGACATTGCACTGTCGATCAGGGATTCAATACGTTTTTGCTCAAGAAAATTAACGAGCGAACCTTGACAAGCTTCTTTGCCCTTTGCAGTGTTTTTGCAAAGACCAACAAAAGCAAGATGGAAGAGTTTCTGAGACAGACAAATTGCCCAGCTTCCAAAATATTCAAGCGTTAAGCTTTAACTTTAGCGAGCTACAACTTACAGCGCTCTTAGTTTAATAGTGCTAATAGTTAAACACGACGCATTTGTTTTCACTTCCCTTAGCCTTTGTCTGTGCTATTGTTTTCGTGACCGATAAAAACTTTCTTTTTTAATTCCTGTCAAATGCCTTTCAAATCGCGTGTCCCGCACTTGTTTCCGGTCTCGGAAACAGGAAGCCATATAATAAACATCAGTATTAGCTCCATTTTGTCGGTTAATAAAAGGTCTATATAAGTTTTCAGTAAGTTGTCATTGATAAGTATGATATAGTACTGCATATTACCTTTTTCTGTTCAAATTTTATAGCAGTCTCCACGAGAACCTTTGTTTCAGGATTGTTGAAAAACAT